CGGAGCCTAGGAGTATAGGGTTTGATTTAAGGTTTAAGGGTAGGCGCTTAGGCGCTTAGGCGCTTAGGAGCTTAGGAGCTTAGGAGGGTTTAAGGATTTAGGGGGTAGGCACTTAGGTGCTTAGGACCTCAGGAGCTTAGGGTTTAGGGTTTAAGGGTTTAGGGGTTTAGGGGTTTAGGGGGTAGGCGCCGAGGAGCTTAGGAGCTTTGGAGCTTAGGGTTTAAGGATCTACTAGTGCAGGGGGTAGCTTAGGACTTAGGAACTGGTTTAAGGTTTTAAGGGTTGAAGAAGTAGGCGCTTAGGCGCCTAGGAGCTTGATTTAAAATAGAAGAAAATCCTTAAAACCCGTAAAAAACAAAATCCGAGGCGTCGAATTTGGTTTTAGGAGAAGCCCCAAACGATTTAAATTTTTAAAAATCCTTAAAATCCATAAAAAATAAAATCAAAATAATTTATTTTTTAAGGATTTTAAGGATTTTATTCGATTTTAAAATGCATAGAATCCTTTAAAAATAAATTCGGCCTCTGATTTTATTTTTTAAGGATTTTATGCATTTTGAAATAGAAGAAAATCCTTAAAATCCTTAAAAAATAAAATCCGAGGCCGAATTTGGTTTTAGGAGAAGCCCCAAACGATTTAAATTTTTAAAAATCCTGAAAATCCATAAAAAAATACAATCGAAATAAATTATTTTTTAAGGATTTTAAGGATTTTATTCGATTTTAAAATGCATAAAATCCTTAAAAAATAAATTCGGCCTCTGATTTTATTTTTTTAAGGATTTTATGCATTTTAAAATAGAAGAAAATCCTTAAAATTCTTAAAACATAAAATCCGAGGCCGAATTTGGTTTTAGGAGAAGCCCCAAACGATTTAAATATTTAAAAATCCTTAAAATCCATAAAAAATAAAATCAAAATAATTTATTTTTTAAGGATTTTAAGGATTTTATTCGATTTTAAAATGCATAAAATCCTTAAAAAATAAATTCGGCCTCTGATTTTATTTTTTTAAGGATTTTATGCATTTTAAAATAGAAGAAAATCCTTAAAATACTTAAAACATAAAATCCGAGGCCGAATTTGGTTTTAGGAGAAGCCCCAAACGATTTAAATTTTTAAAAATCCTTAAAATCCATAAAAAATAAAATCAAAATAATTTATTTTTTTAAGGATTTTAAGGATTTTATTCGATTTTAAAATGCATAAAATCCTTAAAAAATAAATTCGGCCTCTGATTTTATTTTTTAAGGATTTTATGCATTTTAAAATCGAAGAAAATCCTTAAAATCCTTAAAAAATAAAATCCGAGGCCGAATTTGGTTTTAGGAGAAGCCCCAAACGATTTAAATTTTTAAAAATCCTTAAAATCCATAAAAAATAAAATCAAAATAATTTATTTTTTAAGGATTTTAAGGATTTTATTCGATTTTAAAATGCATAAAATCCTTAAAAAATATATTCGGCCTCTGATTTTATTTTTTAAGGATTTTAAGGATTTTTAAAAATTTAAATCGTTTGGGGCTTCTCCTAAAACCAAATTCGGCGCCTCGGATTTTGTTTTTTACGGATGTTAAGGATTTTCTTCTATTTTAAAA